TGTAGTACAGATATCCCCTGCTTTTATGAAAGACCTACATTAGTATGTGTTTTCTCTAATGGAAAGAAATCAAAGAGGATTTTCACTTTTATAAAAAAGTTGAAATGCCAAATTAGCATTCAGCATTTGTTTTACAGCGAGCCGTTATAGAAGCAGCACACACCCTGAACAACAGAGTGGTCCCACCAGGCTCTTTCCCCACAACCATACTCAGCATCTCAGCATCATACCACCATGGCTTTGAACTGTGTCAGTGAGCTTCTGTGCTTTCTCTCAATTGATTTTGTGCATCCGTTAGCAAGATGTGTCCAAAGGTATCAGAAAAGCCTAAGAGAACTCGTAAGAGTGTTACACTTGGTGTAACACTCTTAATTAAGCATGTTTAGTATGATTTGGTAAGTCATTTTTGGGGTCTGAGAATGCTCAAAAAATGTTCCATATAAATTAATGGTAACTGCTGCTTCACTTTATGCCATTTCAGCTAACAGAAGGATTCACAGGAATGCTCTATTTTCAGATAGCGGGGGAAGTCTGCGCTGTATACCAGGCATTGATTCAGTCTTGCATTTCCTGATGGGTAGGTGCCCCTGGTTTTACTTTGTGTCTAGTGTTTGGAGATTACAAATAAAATCCTATACAAGGTGTTGGGTTCTTAGAGTTTCCCTCACTCAGAAGCTCTTGTGGAAACAGCTGAATGAATGTGTGCTTGTGTTCAAATAAATCAGTATCCAGAGTTTTTAAAAAGTTCCACCTGTGCCTTCCTGTCTCTCCCTGACTATCTCTATTACCCCTCTCACTTCCCTGTTTTGAAATGGCTTTGGGGTAATAATAATGGTTAGCCTTTGCTGAATGTTTTTTTTTTTTTTTTGACAGGTACTGAATGTACATGGCAGATAGCACTGTTTGTTCCCCGTTAAAGGTGCAGAAACTGAGGTTCAGATAAGTTGTGTCATGTCACATACTTGGTTGAGGGATAGACCAGAAAAATGGAAAGTTGATGGTTTAGCATCTCAATTTGGGGAACGAGCACAGGGTGGACTAAAAAGACTCCCCAGTGACTGAATTTAAATGTGCGGGGAAAGCAGAACTTCGAACCTCTCTACACCCATAACCACACAGCCCCTGTGAGGGCAAAAGCCAGGTGCTCATCCCACAAAGAATGGTCTGAGGTGGGGGTGGGGGTTCCCCAGCTCTGACTGCAGACAACTAGAACCCGCTGGCAACTTTGTCATCCGGCCGGGAGGCCCCAAACCACTCCTGCAGCTCCCCAGCCAGCCCCTCCAGCCTG